GGATGTTGGCCACTCTTCAAGATATATTGAAGAATTCAATGAATTATTGTGGGTTAACAATGGACTTATGGACTTCCCGCAGTAATAGTGGGTATCTCGAAATCACATGTTCATGGATCAATTCTTGTTTTGAATTGCAAGAAATCACTTTGGCTATTCGTGAAATAAAACACCCACATACTGGATATGCAATCGCTTCTTTATTGAAATCTATTATCCAAGATTGGAACTTAAATATGAAATGTTTTATGATAACAACTGATAATGTCAAAAATATGAAAAAGGCTGTTATGAAAATTGAAGGAGTTGATCGTCTTTCATGTTGTGCACACACTTTACAACTAGTCATAGAAAAAGGGCTATTACCAATTAAAGTTTTAATTATACGAGCAAAATGGTTAATACAATTTTTTACATCTCCTAAACAAAGCGAACAGCTTGAAATAGCACAAATTTCTTTAAACTGTGAAGTGTGCAATAATATTAACAATAATCATGAATATCAGAAAAATTGCAAGGTAAATTATTCATTATTTATATAGATAAAATAATACAAATATAATTGTTAACAAAATTGTATATAACACATATAGCAATTGTAATCAAGCATAAACAAATGATCTTGGATTGTAAATATTAATATCGATCTTATTTAAAATCAATATTGGTATTCGCTTCTAGCCTAAATTCATTTATTAATTAATTAGCCAACATATTATTCAGTAATTGTTTGGAATTTTATTTATGTATTCAAAGTATATTTAAAATCATAATGCTGTTATAATTTGATATTTGCTGTTATGGTACGTGCTGTTTTTTTGTTTATAATTATCAATAATTTGAAGATTACATGTACTAACTATTTTAGATTTTAGCTATATATGTTAAGAAATTTGATTTTTTTTATATTAAAATTAATATTTAAGGTTAGAAGTTAGGGTTTGAGATAATGTAAAATATTTTTTACTTAAGGCAATTAATTAGCCAGTTTTGAGATAATATATATATAATAGAGCTTGAATCCAGTAGATATCTGACTATCCATTTTGTCTATTCACCGGATAAATGCAATTTTCAGATATCTGCTATAAACTAACCGACTAAATCCGTTGAATTAACATATAGTCGACTCTATACCCTTTTACGTATAACAAAACCAACACACTATATAGTAAACTTTTATAGCGAATAACTAATAGTAAATTTTTTTTAATAAGTTTATTATAATATCAATATATAGATTATAGTAAAAGCATTAAATAACAAAGTTTTATTATATGAATTATTATAAAAAGAGCTAATGCAAGTAGAATGTGTATATTTTATCAATATTGCTAATTAAAAATTTATATATAACATCATTATTTTTGAAAAATAAATGCTCTTAAAGTGTTTTAAAGAAATATTACACCAGTGCAATTTACATTTCTTTTAAGAAATAGCATGCGTTCAAATAAATCAGCATTTAAACAAGCTCGCTTGGCAGTCATAATATTTCTTGCATCGCTAAAGAGTCGTTTGCTAGCTGTAGATGTAGCTGGAATACATAAATATTTTTGAGCTATTTTGCTCAATATAGGAAAATTTAATTGCTGCACATTCCACCATTTTAAAGAACAAAGAGTACTTGGAATTTTCAGCAATGCAAGATAAGTTTGAATTTCATTATTAATGTCAGATTCTTGAATAGGTTCATACATAACAGCTAACAAGACATTTTCTTCCTCTTCAAGGTTATCTATTTGTACTGTATTTGTCAGTATTGTTTCTTGCTCTTTAAATACTTCATACTCAGCCACTAAATATGCTTTGGCCTCAAGTCTTTGAGAATAAGTCGCAAATTCTATTTTTTTATTTCTAGGATCAAGGAGTGTTGCAAGAAGAGCTTCACAGATTGGATATTTCCAATAGTAATTTAAAACATTAAATAATGCGATTTTTATATTCATTAGCAAAATTTTTAAGCAGATATATATCGATATATAGCAGTTAATCGATATATATCGATTAAAAATTATCGAT